GCAATTATGAGTAAAATCAAATTGAATGCAGGTTTAAAAGATGGACAACTTGGTGTTATATTCTTCAGTACATTTATACTAATCATGTGTAGATACTTAAACATGTATATATTACTAAATACAGAGCAGATCAGGCTGATCTCAATGAAGATTTATTTGTGTGCCTGCCAATTCAGTTTTAATGATAAAAATATTGTGAGAATCTTAAACACTAAATTGTATACATAATATTCCTCTGGACACTGTATTGCTTTAGATATTGTCCTTATACCAAGGTCACGTTTCCCATTGCCAGGACAGAAACTGGGGAGGAAACTCTGTGAATATTTCTTGATTTCTGAGTGTCCTGTTCTAGAGCTACCTGAGGCTACCTGTCCTGAGCTACAGAAAAACAAGGTTAAAACAGAGGTTCTCAGTTGAAGAGAGCTGAAGGGACAGTGGTGCAAACAAAAGTCCCTGTGGTAAAGAGAGAAGCTGACAAGGAGTGAATTCAAGGCAGAGACCCTCTGGCAAAGAGAAAACTCAGAAACTCAGAACTCAAGATATTCCTGAAAGGAACAGGAGGAAGTTTTCTTAGACATACTCTAAAGCCAGTTATACAAACTGTCAGCTCTGTCCCTTCTGTGCTAGTTTGGATTGTATCCATATCTTCTAAATTTCTCAGATTCAGACTTGTGCAGAGATGTGGATATAGAGATTCTGTCAGGGTACCACAAGTTTATGTCCTTTGGTTATTTGGGCTGTTAATGCAAAATAGATTGTGCTTCTCCTGAAAAAACAGCCAGAGCCTTACCCTCATTTTGCACATTGAAAGATGAAAGTGCAGGGAATTGTAATGCTCATATTCCTAAGAGAGACTTTCCTGGTGCCTAAATTGAATATTTCCAACATCAAGTTAAATGTTTTTTCTTAACCATGTATTTTAAGTTGTATATGTTTTTAAGGGTTAGATATTTTATGTTGTGATTTGATACATAAACCCAGCAGAATGATGAAAGCTGTGAAACTTTTAGAAATAATTATTATGTCAATTAGCTGCATTTGTTCATAAACTTAGAGATTGATTTGGTTTAGTATAAGGAACACAGCCACTTAAGAGATCTCTGGATAGTTTTAGATCTTAATTAAAGCCTCTCATAGTTAACTTTTAAATTATTTCTGGGTAAGTATTTTCCTACTTTATAACTTAAATGCCATGGAAAGCTGATGTATACTGAAAAAGACCATTTGTTCTTTTGGTATTACTTCTAGCCATTCTTCTTTTTCAAAGAGAGAGAGAGAGAGGGAGAGAGAGAGAGTCTGTTCCAGCATTATTTAAAGATGTCAAAGCGTAGAGCTAAGTCATTCTGCTTATGCTCTACTTGTGGCGATCTCTGGGTATCTTTCTGATGTGATCTTTGCTGCTTTCTCAAATGATGTGTCATTTATTTAAATATGGTATAATTTCAGAGCTTTTTTTGTTGTTGTTGTCTGCTGATAGGGTTAGGGTTTACAGCAGCTGTCTACAGCAGCTTTTCATCTTTGTACTTAATTGTACTTTGTACTTAATTGCTTGCATTTTTCCATTTTTATAACGAAACCATAATATTCGATATATTTTTAAAAAACAATATGCATTCATATAACTTCTCTACAACAAGGTGGTCTCTGACCAAGTCAGTCTTCCTACAACCCTCTCCCTCTTTGTTCAAAATTCTATGTAGACCAGATTTTGCTAGCAGAAATTATGGAACTGTTTTGGTACTGGTAAACCACTGTTTGGGCATTCATTGATTTTCTGTAAAAATACTAAATGCAAAAGACAAATTAAAATGTAAGGCTAATTCAGAAATCGAACAATGCCCAACAGGCTCTTTGTTCCTGCTGGTTTCATTAAGATTTTTTTTTTAAGAGGATCATGTGGTATTTAAATGAGGAACCATTAGAAGGTTTTAAAATAATATGTGTACAAAATATGTTTATCTTGCCTTTATCTTTGGAGGAAAAAAAAGTACAAATGTGTGTTTTCTGTTTGAACAGATGATACTGTACATGAATCGGCTGAACCATCCCGTGGTGAGAATGCAGCTCAGACCCTAAGGATATCCAGTCAGCCTTTCACAACTATACTGTTCCTTCTAGCAATGCTTTTGACGTTATAGCACATATTCTAGCAAGCTGCCACAGTCAACTTCAGGGTCTTGGAACATCAAAGATCCACTTAACTGCTCATCCCAGCAACGGGACATTGTATTGGTTTGCAGATGTTGGTTTGTTCTCCTTTCCCAGTCTCCTCCCCTTCTCTCCTCTGCAACCTGAACTCTGAGCAAAAATTGAAGAGGAATAACTAGACCTCTTCCTACTCCCAAGCTTTCCCTGGCTTTCCTTGATCCCTTCTAAAATAAATGGACTCCAAATGAAAATGCCAAATTTCAATATTGACACTAGTGATTCTTACTTTCCTCTGCAGCCTCTCTTAAGATACTGCCTAGTTAACTTGCTGGGCCATCTGTATATGGAGAAGGAAGAATAATAGGAGATGCAGTTAGTCGAAGAATAAGGAAGTTGTTTGAAAAACCAAGAGGAGTTTTTTACTCTCTTCAATAAAATATTTATTTCTCCTTGTTCAGCACTGTAAGACGATCATGCAATGCACTGTGTCACCATGTCAGGACTGGAGGGAAGATTTTAAGAATAGATATTTCTCAGTGAACAGGCTCCTCAAAGGAAAGAGTTATCATTTGTATGCAACTGCCTTGAAAGGTCCCTGACCATAGAACTTATGCTCCATAACAGAAGCTCTGTCATTAGGGGAGGAAAAAGTGACTACTGACAAGCAAGGTCAGATTTAGGAAGCTATGTTGGAGTGATAGTGCCTCTGTTATCTCTCTAAGTGGATAGTGCACACCAGATTACTTTTCTTTTGACACAGATACCATGGTGCTACAATAATTTTTGTTCAAATGCAAAAAGGCATTTATGTACTTCTAAAATATCTTTTCTGTGTGAAAAAAGTGACCTTTCCCAAGGCTGACATAGCCAGTAGCCTTGTATCCAGCTCTGGGTGACAATACATACTAAGTTGATAACAACTCTGGGTGGAGTAAACCTGGTGAGTGATACAGAATCCCCAGTGTCATGATAATTTTGCCTCCCTTGAAAATTTGGCAACTCTTGGAGTGAAATGCTGCCAGAAAGGAATCAGGACATTTGTCATAGAGGGTGGAGGGGAGTTCTGCATGTGAAGAACAGAGTACAGGAAGATTTTTTTTTGAACTTTAGAGTGAAAGTTGAGGCATTGATCTCATCTCTTTCTTCCTTTCCAACACAGTTGAAAAGTAGCATAAATGTCTTCATTGGCAGGAGATAAACTAGACAGACTCCCAAAGACCTTTAACTATTTTTGTTGCTTTTAAAAATCCACTAGAGTAGAAAATACATTATCTAGATATACCTTATGCTGAAAATAATTATATATGCTTGTCCTATTTAAAGATGATAAAATGTGGTAACTTTTGACAAGATTATGGGGTGCTGATTGGTTGAAATCAGGGGTGAATCCTTAGGCAGCTGTGTTATGGCCTCATAAAACACTTACCAGGAAATGCCTTCTTTGTAGTTTTCCATTAGCTTAGGCAGACCTAAATATAGATTTACTAAATGAGGGAGACCATGAAAACAACTATTTTGGAAAGTTAATTTTCTCTCAAAATTAGTGAGAACAAAACTTTACAAAAATAAGGTTAGATTCCACTGAATTTTCACAAGTTGCAAAACAAAAAAAAAGTATACTTTAATACTAAATCATAATACAAATGGACAGACTTTTGTAAATGTCTGTCTGAATTATGAAAAGAAAGCATTTTTTCTAAAAAAAAAAAAAGCTGCAGGATTTCAGGATTCAAAAACAGCATGAATAAAAAGGTAAATGCAAGGCTCTCTGGGCTTGCCTGATACCGCAAAGTATGGGCTTCATTTCAGAGCACAGAGATGTCTGATACAGCACACAAACAAAACGAGTGTCGTAATCCACATTGAGGGATGGCACTGCTTTCCTCATGGTACAATCAATAAATCTTCTCTCTTCAGGATGTACGTTGGGTGCACGTGTAGGAAGGGATGACCTTGAAAAGAGCGATCAAAGCAAAGACAACGTTGCACATGAAGTAAGGTCCCTGCAAGCGTAACCTACCAATCGCAAATATGAGTAGTACTGTTTGTTGTCCTAACAATGACTATAGCTGTTTTTTCATCATTTGTCTATAAATAATAAAAGGCTGGACTCACTTGCCTCAATCGCACGCTTTCTAAACCACAGATTGTCACTGCAGTGAATTCAAACTTTTGCTTTGCCACAGCGCCACTGCTAATCTAATAAATAAAAGCAACACGGTAATTACAGTTAAGATGCTAATTGCTACACTGCCTCAAGTGCAGATCTTGTTGGCAGTAGGTGTACAGGACCTTTGGATATTTGATGGCATCAGGCAATCTCAGTCATTAAGCAAGTAATGGCCATGTTCACATGACATAGTGAGGCATAAGACTTGATTGGTATAAATACTTCTGAACAGTGCAAATACTAAACCATCCATTGTTAAGTGTATGTTTCACCTGAAAGCAAATCATAACTCCTGTTCAAACCAATCATAGAAATGAGCCATAAGCAAGCTATAGGCATATTCTATGGTATGTGCAGGCCATAAATCGTATGTCTTGGGAACTCAAACTTAACAAGGTTTGCTGGTTGTGCAGGAGCACTGATGCTAACCAAGCCTTATGGTGCATTCATGCAAATGTGGCCAATGCCTGAATATTTTTTAATCTCTCCCACTTGTGTGTGTGTGTACGTGTGTGTGTGTGTGTTGTCTTGACATCTTCAAAAAGATGTCAGTATGTACGTTTATAATAGCCCCTGTTCTCAAGCATGACATATGAGATACAACATTTGGCCCCCCTCAACTCAGACAGTCTGCCCTGTGACATCCGAGTTTGCTAAGGGCTTTGCAAAGGGTAGCAGGGAAATAAGGATTGGTCTGTGTGGTGGATACTGTGTATCCTTTAATAGACAACAAGGTAACATTTTGTGTTAGTTTAGAAATATTGTTTTGTACTGTACTTTCTCAGCTGGCGAAGGAAAGACAAGTTAAGACAAAAAAAATGCTTTGTTCTTTAAATTCTGTATTATTAGCAGCCTCTGTTGTACATAGTGTTTGATAATAAAGTATTAATTTGATTCTTATGTCTTTTGTAAGTGAGAAGAAAATAGACTTTCATGATATTAAAATTTAAATGAACAATGCACCCTCTGATTGTATCCCCGAAGAATCCATCATGGCTACTGAGCATTGTAGCCACCACAGGTCGCTCCCCATGCAGGATTCACTCATGAAAACCATTCAGCCGGTCTCAAGATTTCACAGTGGCAGGACTCGGAGCACTGTGGCACCTGATTATCAATGTTTTGTCCGTGGTGTTAATGGGCTGTTGTTGAAAGCCCATGGTACTTTCCTTTGGGTTAGGTTTTCATTAGCATGTGGATTCGCAATAGCTTGGGATTTTATTCTTCTTTCTTGTGAGAATGGTTTTTCCTTCCAGTTGTTTAATCCTCTTTTTTTTCCATGGGTCATTATTTCAAAAGGGGCCTTCCCAGCATCATATGTGATAATGTACAGTGACTTGATTCCCCACCCCATTGAACACCAAATGTAGCAGGGGGTTATATGTAAATAATTTTCTTTCCTGTATAACCATTGAAGGAAAGAAATAATAGCTACCAAGGGAATATGTGTGTTTGGTTTGTTTTCACATATTTTTATGAAAGCAGTGGCTGTGTCAATTTTGCAAGTTTTGAAAAATATGAAACTTTTTTCATACTGCAGTCCGGTTATGTATGTCCACCAATTTTCTTTCCATTTATTGTACATCACATGTGCTCTTTCTCTTCCCTGCTACCGAGCCCCATTAAGTTCTCTTTAAAAAATGGAACAGTGAATGGGCAGGTCTGTTTCTGACTTAGCACTACCCCATTTTTCCCATCCATTCACCCATGTTTTTCAGATGTGAGACAAATCTCCCTACAAGAGGCTTACTGCCATTGTCTGAACAGTTTAATAGATGCTGGCATGTTGGAGGTTGCTCATGAGCCTTCAGAATCTGCTTCCCATGCTTACCCATGACACCCTATTGAAGCCACTGATTGTGTCCTTCTGGGTATGAAAGTCCAGCTCAGTGTGGTCCTGTCCTTGTACTGCCCTGCTTTGCAGTTTCTTTGCACTTATTTATTGAGTGCTGTTTTTGAAATGCTTACATTATATGAACTTAACAAAAAGTGTAAAAAAAAAAAAACCAAACCCATAAAATCTGTATTTGTATATACACGTGTCCGTACAATTATATCTGAATAAAAAATTAAAGATTTTCATCATTTTAATGAATTCTTTCAGGCTACATTTTATTTACTGAATGATGCCTTTGGTCCAGGGGCTTGTTCTTCATCTTAAATATTTGTGGGGGAATGGAAGCCTGCAAGGAATACAACACTGAGCAGTTCTGTAACGATTGGAATGCAATTTCTGCCTAGACTAAATACCTGGAGTTGTCACCACCACGATCCAGTCTGATCTATATTCTGGGTGTTGTGACACTCTCTTTTCCCAGCCCAAGAATCTGCCTAAGAATAAGTTGTTAGGGTGGTTATTCATACCATCTTCTAGATTCTGACTATACAAATAATTAAGTGTTTTATGTTCAGTTTTCCTATTTTTCTGTTGAATGGCAATCTGACACAATAAAGCAAGATGTTCTGCTAAGTGTGAACTGGGGTGATGTAAAGGACTGCAAACAGGGCAGACAATGCATGGCACCCCTTTTGCCAATGTCCCCTTGGCTAAACACGCATGGTCTGAGTGAGTTCAAAAAGTGGAGAAAAGTACTTAGCATAGCTGCAGATCTCTCCAACTTTTTTCAATCCATTGAAATGTTGATAACTCTCTTCTTAATCATTCTGTATTGAAAATGATATACAGCTCTGCAACAAGTTATTAACTGATGCTCAGTATGCTTCATTATTTATAGTAGTTTTGTTTCTTCACTGCAGGAACGTTGAAATGTCAACTTGTGTGTGTGCATGTTTTAAAACCCTTAAGGGCTATACTCACTGAAAGAGTCCCCTCCTTGGATCAAGGCATACTTAAAGAGATCCCTCCCTCTCTCATTTCAATTTTGCTATGATCAGCTAACTAGACCTGGAGACTTCACAAGCATTATTAAGACTGGACTGGACAAAGTTCGCTTAAAAGTACAAGGACTAGAGGGTTGTTTGTTTAACGTGCAGTGATCATTTAGCCATCTTCCAGAAATTGTTACCTACCTATAGCAGGGTGGATTTCTGATTTAAGTAGATATACTTGACGTTGTATTGGCAAATGTTTATACTGGCAAATATTTTTGATTGATAAAGGTGATAGGTGTATGGAACATTACCTAAAAATAAGGTGAGGGATAGAGGAACACACAGAAAGCAGCTAACACACCACACATCTTCAAATCCAAACTTTAATTACATTCATGTTAGCATTAACCTCCTTGAAAGCTTTTTATTACATTTAATTGGTTAACAGGGCAGCAAGTACTAATTATAACTTGCTTTGACTTCTCTTTACAAATTAGGAGTGACAGCCTACTGAGGAGAGAGAGAAAGAGACAGATGCATGCTTAGTACAAAGAGCTGATGTGCTGAACCTTTGTCTCTGGAAGTGTGAACCTAAGATTGTAAATAACGTATGTTTGGTTTGGCTTAACATAATAGTTGCAAACAGTTTTGCAGGTTTGGCAATGACTGGTCATACCTCTGACGGATCTTCCACAGTGATGACCGGTGTTTTTAATGTTTTCACTTAAGTGGTTTTTCTATTCCCATGTTTTCTAGTTAGTCCTCAATATTTCTGTTTCCATAGAGCACACCAAATAATGTAACAGTTTTTAGCCTAATTTCAGAATGCCTCACAAGTTACTCTGGCCTTTGACAACAACAACAACTTATCTTAGGCTGTTGCAAGGAAAGGAAGAAGGAGGCATCAGGTCCAAAAAAGGAAATGAATATTCAGAAGGGTACAGGTGGGTCCACCCACAGCTAGATAAGAATCATTGCCCTCACATGTGCAGCTGTATAAATTGTTTAAATAAATGAATAAATAATCCCACCCACCACTGGCATGTGCCCCTCTGCAGATTATTCTGAATTTACCTATACATCCCATAGTTAATAAAGGGGTTGGAGGGGGAGGATTAAGGCTTTAATTGCTCAAGAGGTTCTGCAGTTCTAAGCATGGCTTTGCTTGGAACAAAGCACTTTGATGTGTGTGTATGTTTTGTTCTAATGAATGTGCTTGCATTCTATTGAAAAAAGATGTTGCTTGATTGATTTACAACAATCAAAATATGTTCCTTTTCAATTAATAAATAGGGATATATGTAGTGTTGAACAATGACAAGCTGTAGGCAGATATTGAAAATGCATGGGGAACACCAGATTCTAGCTGCAGGTTCTACTCATAAATACAATCCATTTGCTTGAATATTTCCAGTTCCATGCAGATATCCAAGTTAATGTCCCTTCCAAATGTATATCTACATGTGGCCATTATTAGGAGTCCATCAAAATTCAAACATCTGCAGAAAACAAAAATAAAATTGTATAGATTTTTGCAGTTTTTTTCAGAGATCTAGTTTTCTCTATGCGGGTTTACCAGTATTTTTAAATGGTTGGTTTTGTGCCCAGAACACTCAGTCATGAAATTCTGCCAGTTGCAGTCACCACTGATTATATTTTTTTAAGCTCAGTTTTATTTAATATTAAACACAGTGCATAAGCTGGTATATGCTGTTTGAAAAAAAATGCAGATGTGAAACTTTGCATAAATTTTCTGGGACTTTTCATTTGAAAGGGATAATTTTTTAATTGTTTCTTTGGAGGGACAAATAATCAAGGATGAGGTTGGTTAGGAGCATGCTCTAAGTTGGGGCCATGCACTTGCTTTTTCGTCAGGTAAGAGAGGCCAATTTGAATTTCCTTTTCAAAAAAAGATGAATAGCAGGATATGTCATTTCATCTTTATCTGTTTTCAAGAACAACAGTGGTTTTTCTCAAACTTAGTGTCCTGTGATATTTTTGAATTCAACTCAAACTTTCCAACCAATATGATTGAGAATTTGGGAAGTTGTATGCTAGTCCATCTATATGGTGTCAGCCTGAATAAAGATCAAAGCAGCTATTAACTATTCAAAGGTTTTAATAAACCAGGTTCAAAGATCTGAATGCCACAAATCAGTTAGAATGTCAGCTGTCAAGCTCAATAACTGCAATGGTAACTGTAAGACAAAAAGAATTTGGTGTAGGTATGGAACACGGAAATACACTAGTGTTGTTATTTCTTCCAACAAGCATCAGTCTTTAGACTGGGTATTTTCTTAGATTGATTTGGGTTCTAAACAAGAGCCTAGGAATCATGGATATAGTTTACTATGAAGAAAGTTCCAAGCAGGGTGGTGTGTTGCAAAGTCATTACAGTCAAGTCCAGTAAATTTAAAACTGCCAAATATTTGACTAATCCCTTGGGTATGGCCGTAAGAGCTCTGATTACTGTTGGTATTACAGTTGCTTTTTCTCCCAAAATCTATCAACTTCAGTAATAACATCATCATTATATTTGCATTACAGTTTCCCCCTGGGAACTCAAGGTAGTCCTCAAGGGAGTTTTCATTTTGTGCACACAATACTGCAAAATTCTCCATCTATCACTAAAATGTTGCATTTTATCACCTCCTTTTATCCCCACAATGATATAAAACCCTGTGATATAGCCTGGATTAAGAAATCATGACTGTTCCAGAATCACACAGCAGGATCTATGGTTTGAATACTTGAACCTAGGTCTCCCTGATCATCACCCAGCATTATATTGGCTCTTGATGAGGCCTAAACCGGGGGGGGGGGGGGGGGGGGGGG